TACACACAAGTAAGAAATCATGCAAGTAGAGGAAACAAGGAACTATCAAATAAGACTTGTGATTCACCTTTAAGGCCCAGATACACCGGCCAGTCACCGAGAAGTCGCCGACACCGACTGTTGCGTCGCCGGACTCTCCTGCGTATTTGCCGACTTCGCGCACTGGAACACACCGCAAATCCGAGCCGAGCACGTATGAACTGCGCATGCGTGAGTGGCAATAACTCTCCTTACCAGCAGGCGGCGGTAGTGTGTATTCATCATTCAAAAGAGGCAACAACCGGAACAACCGGAAGACAGAGAAGAAGAACAGACTCCGTGATATAAACAAACAACAAATAGCGTTTTTCTTTCCATTTTCACTCTCGTCCATTGAAAACATGAACGAACAGGAGCTCTATAAACCGATGAGGTGAAATAGCCGTCCGTGTGTGTTCCATCTTCCATTTGAAATCATTTGTTTACCTCCCTCACTTCCGTTAACGCTTCTCATGCACTGATTCGCTAGCTGAACAGCCAATCAGTGTTATCCCTTTGTCCGACTTCTGGTGGTGTTCCCGACGCCGATTCAACATGTTGAATCGGCAAGAAAAGGCGTTAGGTCGGCAGAAAAGACCCGACGGTGCGGCGCACACCACTCCGAATAGGGCGTGCCCACGCTCATGTTCGGTCCGACTCCCATTTACTGCCGATTTCGGGCCAGTGTATCTGGGCCTTAAAATCCCAAAGTTCCCTCCAGAGGAAGTTTCACTCGCCCTTTGTTTACTAAAGTATCATAGTGACATCACTCTGTAAAACTCACACTTCTTTTGGCTAGTGCTAGAACATATTGTATGCGATAGGTAAGGGGCGGGAGATCGCTAAGTGGTTGACCAATCACAGCGGAGCCGGCCTGCTAACCAATCGGAGCAGGCTGGGCTCTGGTTTCAAACAGAGGGTGAAAAGAGGTGCAGGCAGTATGAGAAAAATAAAGAGTTTTTTGAACACTTAAGCATGTAAACATCTCACAGTAGAGACACTAAATGAACATGAACATTTGCATAAAGAGCCTTTTTAACCATATTGAGGGTATACGAATATAATACATATTGAACTTTTGTCTGGGAAAATGTGTGAGTTAAGTCCCATTTTATTTTACTTCACTGAGATATATGGATATGAATAGACAGTGAGAAAACTTGGACTTCGTGAAACCCACCTTTTTAGAAAAATCAATTCTGCCTGGAGTAATTGATTCTTCTTTTACGAAAGGTTTATTTGTCATTGTAATGCAAGAGCTGGCGAAAGGAAGGCGGCACATTGGGCTACTAAGTAAGACTGCAGTCTGTCGGCCAACGAGCTGCTCCATCAGAACAGCTGGGGGTTAAGTGCCTTGTTGGAAGACCAAATGCTGGGACTGTATTTGCGGACACTTTCTCACACTCAAAGCCCTGCTAAGATTTTCCTAACCAGTCCAGGAACTTAAACTGGTGAAATCACGGATCCAAGCCCATTTGTCTTTAAGCCTCTGCACTACCTGTGTGTCATGGCTCCAGTTGCCCTTATGCAAACACAGCATGATTGCATACATGAGATCTCTCCATTAAATCATAATCATGCACAGTGGGAAATGTGGAAAAAGTCATTATGCTCCTGCAGTTCAGGTAGAGAAGCACGTTTAAGGATGATTTTACTGTAACCCTCAGTGATGACATGAGCATTAGTTTTCATAACACATTTTCTTCTCAGATTGTACATCTTGGAATGGCAGCTTTTTGCCAATTTGGTCTTTCGTATTCCCCGAAAATCATTCCTGTACTCTCAACACTAATGTCCTTTTTACCCTAGTGCCTGTAAAATGCTGCTGCTTCAAAAAAGGGCTTAGAAAAGGCTTTTTAGGGCCACAGGGGGAGGGGGTGAAAGGGTGAAGAGAGGGGTGAATCTGTGGTGCATTGTGTGTGCACATTAATTGAATGGGCTCAGGTCCTGAATCCCTAATTAGGAACAATGGCTGTGACATGGGCAGCGCCGAGGCAGAGAGCTCTTGTGAGAGGTAAGTGGGGAGTTGAAGGACGGCCACGGGGAAAGCACCTCTCGCTCGGCTCCCATACGGCATCCTCCAAAAGCCTTAAGAGACTATTGTGTGGCTGTACGGGCGCCAACACACACATACAAATGCAAGATACGTGAGGTGGAGTTAGGGGAAGAAGCGAGATGGCGCTCCAGCATCCTCATCCTCTTCTTCCAGCTCATTGACTGATGTCACAGGGAGAGACTGAGAGGGGGGAGCTGCACCAATGGGGGAATATAAAAATAAATAAATACGGAGTGACGTGAGAGTGCAACCCACGTCAAGGGAAGAAAATAAACACCTTGCTAAGCCCATCAGGCTGTGGCGGTGTGTTTATAAGTATACGTTTGGTGTTGTAAATACACAGCATGGAATTGGTCTGTGTTTATGCGTGTGTCTCATGCTGTTGTTGTCTAGTAGGCGTCTTCGCACCATATTGCTATCTAACGTTCACTTGGACATTATGTCTTTGTGATGGACTATCAAAACATTGCGGAGTTGGTGAAGTTGAACCAACGTTTAACTGATTTTAAAACGCCAATTTCAAACCATTTTTATTCTACTGGACGCTATTGGTCAGTTTGAGTCAGATATATTAATATTTACGCTTAGCAATTTTACCAAAAATAATGAATTTGTAGTGGTTCACAGTAGGGCTGCACGATATATCATGTCGTGACGATAATTGCGATATGCGCATGCGCGATATTCACATCGCAGGACGTGCGATAAAAAAAAAATTTTTACATTATTTTTAGGACGTGCAATATTAAAGGGGGGATAGGTCATTTTGGAGAAACCAGCTCGAGTGCGCTAGAATTTGAAAATACACAACCGGAAAAAATCTGCCACTTCCTTACAGAGCCCCTCCCCCAACACACATGAACGCGCACATGACCAATGAGGGCACGAGATAAGTTTGTGCACAGATGGAAGGCTGACAGGCAGGTAGGCCATCCAGTTACTTTAGCCGGGCCGGCTCAGATGATTGGTCGTGCTTTTTACAGCGCTACGGCTTCCACAGATGACATTTTTTCCTGCCACTCGCCGCCCGATGTGAGAACGGGACCTCATCCTCTAGGTCGACACAGAGCGCGTCCTGTGTCATAGCACGAGTGTGTGTGTCTAGACGAGTGTGTGTGTGTGTCAGACGAGTGTGTGGTGTGTGTCTAGACGAGAGTGTGTGTGTGTCTCGACGAGTTGGTGTGTGTGTGTCTAGACGAAGTTGTCACAGGTGTGTGGTGTGTGTCTAGACGAGTGTGTGTGGCAGCTAGGAGGGGGGGCGACGTGTGGACGCTGCCACAACCTCTGCCATAGCTACTTGGCCGCGATTTGTGTGTATTGACGACGACCTTAGTAACCAAGACCCATTCTGCAAGGGGTCGCCAACATTTAGGGCCGCACAGAGTTAAGTAATGTTGTCTGTCTTCCGTGAGAAATGCGAACAGCACGTTGTGTTTCTCTACCAAACTCCACTTTTGCGTTTAGTTTCCATTGTCAAACCAATTTCCAAGTTTCATGCAAAAAAATCATTGCCTTAAAAAACGTATTTTTTGTAAAGTCTTAAGGTCTAGTTGGACAACCAATACGTCGACCCATTTACAAAAAATAGACCCAACAAGTTTACTTTTTTTCGAACTGTGCTTTAAGAGAACACCAACCAACCATACTTTCGTGCGACATGCGGTTCCGTTCGGTCGATCGTTACGTCGAGTTGTGGGACCGAGTGAAGGGTAGGAAATGTCTGTAGTACGTAAAGGATTGTAGCCAGGATATACGACATTTTACTAATAGGAAGCTAAATGTGTGCCCGTAGATACGTGCAGACAGGGCAGGACCTCTCCCTAGGGAGGAGACAACGGAGGGACTCCAAGAGTGGTAAGTGGGAAATTTGACCCTAAATAGAAGACTTCAAAAAGATGCTACAACTCCCAGATTCCTGTCTCCCACGCAAAAGAGTATTAATTTAAGACTGTTAGACACGTCAACATTACTGACATTTCACCGAGATGACTCCGTAAAAAATATATTAAGCTTAAACCGAGCTGTTTTAGCAAATATACATATTTATATATCATTTTGAACTATACTAAACTAAGAAACACCGCATCAGGGTTTTTTGGGTTTTTGTTAGAGTTTTTTGGTCGACCTAAGTGCAGTGTCGTAATAACTTTCTGCTGTACATTTACTCGTCCCCACCGCTATAGCTGCTATATATAGCGCCTGCTATAATCCAGAGGTGTTTTTCGGCAAAGGTCTCTATAGCATAGATTAGCACTATTTTTTTATTTTTTTATTACCTTAAGAAAAAAAAAAAATTTTGATTTTTTTTATTTGCTACACTCTCTTGTACGAGGATTTCGACAGATCAGTCCTAAGTCTGGTCATAACGTGAAATAAATACAGAATAACTAAGACACCGAATTTAAATAAAATAGTTATTCTAACGATATTATCAAAAAGGGAAGTCAATCGATTTCAGAAAATAACGTGGAAGTTCAGATTTCACAATGTAAAATTTAACAACGTACTGAAAAGGGCGTGGGACAAAATGTGCAAGTCATCAAAATGGGAGGAAAGTACAAATAACTACAAGTGACGATAACGTGGAGTCTTTCCATGAAAAATAGATCTCTTTGACACGGAACTTCGGGTATAGTTTTCACTTAACAGTAAGGTCATCTTAAGTAAAGTCTTTATTTTGGTCGGGACTTTACGTAAACCAGACCAATAGGAAAATCAAAATAACGACCATGGAACTCCCCAACAAGACATTATTGAACTTTTTTATTGGTATTATTGGCTTTACTTTTTTAAACACTTATATTAGCAGATAGCACTATGACGACTTTTTAGTAGCCTATTATATAAAAACGTTATTAGCGCTGGGGATTTAACTCTGATCTCCGAGAAATTATTTTCCAAGAGTCTCGTTTAAACTTTAACGTGAAAGTATTGTAACGGTTAGTGTTCTCTCTTTTGTGTAAGTAAGTAAGTGTGTGAAGTGTTAGTGAACTGGATGTCTAAAGGTTGGAGGACCCCTTTTAACGTCGACGGTTTTCCCAACCCTTCACAAAAACTGGCTGGACTGTCTCGCTCTATTTTAGTTTGGGTTTACGTTTTTTACGACCTCTATCATAGCAAAAAAGTCTGGAAAAAAAAGGAAGGAAGGAATTTTTACCAACACGGGATGTAATGGGTTTTACGTCGAGATGGTCCGTTTTTTCACACCCAAGTCCAAGTACTAAACATGAACGGAGATTACCCTGTACGGTTTTTCGAGAAATAAGGAGTTGGACAAGCGTCGTGGAGCAAAGTGGGGACAGACTTTGGTCCGGTCAGGCGGACTACCATCGGACGACGAGACAACACTAACCGTTTGGCCGATCTTCTACGGGCGGTAGTTGCATGTATACACACCGCGAGATCGGTTATCTTACCACACATGTATCACTGCAGTGATACGACATTCACCTTCATTTGTTTCCTCAGCTTACGTCCTCAAAGTTCACACGTTTGTCCCAAACTCGGAAAAAATCTGGTAATGTACGTGTTCTTGGACATTTTGGGTGGTTTCTTTCCCTTTTTGACGTTGTTTGTATTATCCGTGAGAAATCCGTTTTATTGAGGTTTACTTTAAAGGGTTGGGTTTTTAACAATTTATGTCTGCGTAAATATTGATAGACTTCAGTTATAGTAAGAACTACATCTCTTTTAAGGTTAAGACAAGGAAAGACGGTGTTATAAACAAAAACTATAATAGTGACACGCCCCGGAACGTGTATAACCTTTTTTGACTGTAACCGCTATAAAAGAAGTGGGACGCTATATATACGCTCATTACTTTTTTATGGTCCTTAACTTCTTTTTTTCCAACGGCGATCGGTAGGAAATTAACAACTTGCATTCAATATGTTAACCATAAAAAGATTTGAATAAATTGTGCCTACTTCCTTAAAATCAGTGCCTGCAGACCTAGGATTCATGTCTCGTTGTTCGACTCGCGATCGAGCCAATGTCGCGGGGCTGACGGGACCTCTTTGTGTACTTTGATGAATAAGTCCAAGAATTGACATTAGTGGTCCAAAGGGAAACGAACCTCTAAACTAACACTTAACCACCAAACGACACGTACGTCTCGGACGTACCGTGAGTGGTTCATGGGGACGTACTCTCGGCGCGCTCAAAGGAAAACATCGTTCGTCGTTTTATTAACCATTGTACTGCCAAACTCCATTGACGGCGAAATTTCCACCCATCATTCAAACTTCTTGGGGCCGGAGCTCTATGTGAAAAACAATATAAGGTACCTTCGAGAATATAGGGCTACGTAACTTATAGATTCACGAACTGTT